ATTCCAGCGGTACATCAGTTTATCACAGTCCTTGTATTAGTTATATATATTTGTAATTAACCACAAGTTATTCAGGTGCTAAACAGGTGCACCAACTTCTAGGTCACTTTTGACTGTCTTAACCAGACCTTTCAAAAGAGTAGGCATAATAAATCATGTTTGAATGAAGATTCATCCAGGGTATCTCTGGAGTTTTTAGTAAATGTGTATTTTTTACCTGAAGGAACTGCCAGGGAATCAAACTGCATCACAAACCCCTGTGAACCCAGAGTATTTCACTACCTCTGTATAATTCTGGTTGTGTGCTGCTCAACGTGAGGCCAATGTTTTGTTGCCACTGGGTTTACTCTGACACAAGATTTGACCAGGGACCTGTGTGACTACAGAGCATCTGGGCTGTTTCTATTTCTCCCTTAATTAAAATGAGAACTATTTGTTAGGAATCACTGTGGAAAGCCTAGAGGCACCAAGAGGGAGCCTCCAATAGAGAAACTCACTGCAACCCTCTGGAAAATTCAAATCTCAGAATAGTGAAAATCTCTGCAGTTGTGGCAAAGGAGAGTATGAAAGAACAAAGTCACCCTGACTGGTCAGAAATTTGCAAGTAGATACAAATAAAAGCTGGATTCTCTTATTGTGTCAACTGGGGTCCAGGGAAGCATTTTATTTTCCTGATCCTATAGAATGATTGATTAAATATGCCAGTCAAAGAGCTTCTCAAATAAGAAATAGTTACCTCTTCTTTGCCTCTTTCAGTAGCTGTGAAAAGTTTAGAAAAGTTTTTTTGGCCCTGTCTACATTTTCCTCCAAGAAAAACATGATATTAATGGTAAAACGTTTGGTTGAATGAGAGTGCTACAAAGCTGTCTGAGGATACAGTGTGGGTGACATAAAGGCTTCCTGCTGCTGTACCAGTATCTGTATCTGCAGAAATGCTTACAGGAGTTTGCTACCCTTGACTTTTCACTGCCTCCCTGTTTGTGGACTCACTTAGGCCTCCAAACAGAGTGCTTAAAATGCTGCCAAATCAGAACACCTCTTTCTGAGTGTCTTTACAGGTGTGACAATGGGCTGTAATCCTTTAATTCAGTAAGGATGCACCCTTGCCTGTGAGTTACTGGAATGTGGTTTAACATTCTCTCTTCTTGTCTGAAGTCATACATTTGGCACTGACTGGCTGTAAACAGGACGTGATGTTTCCTCAGTCACACACCTTTTCTCCTGGCACTGAACACTGTAGCTGGTGGAAGAGGAATTTGCTTATTGCCAGAGGAAGCTGTAAGTGGAAAAGGCTGAGCTAGGTGATTCACAGGGGGTTTGATTTGGTTTTGTTAGCTTATTTCCCCTAAAGGGCTGTCTCTATCACCTGGGAGCACAGGGGTATCCCCTGTCTTGGGGGACATCAGTTCTGCTTCAATCTATTTTTTTTCTCTGCATATGAATGTGTATATTATTTAAAAATTAACTATAAGCTCCATATTACAATAGTCAAGGATGACTGCTGCTAACCATTAATCTTATGCTTGCTTTCATATAGTATAAGAAAAACTTGCCAAAACTCTATTTTATATTATTAATATGAGATTAGATGGCCAAGCAGTTCTTTCTTTTCTCTCATGCCTGAGCTTGCTAACCTGACAGCAAGACAGGTGGCCTAAAACTACTGTGATGAAGGAAGCTTGATCAGGGTCAAGGGGTCAGCTGGAGTAAAATTAGACAAATAACCAGGGTTCAAGGATATCCTGAAATGAACAGCATAGTTTGCACTATCTGTTGGCAGTTATTTTAAGAATTGTAAAGCAAGGACTCCACAATGTCCTAATTTTGCAGGGATAGTCTGTAAAAATCATAAATTCTGTGAAAGGGGTCAGACTCTAATTTACAGGTGTGATTCAAAGCTTGCTGAGGTCAATGAAAACCTCTTCTATTAAGTCTAGTAGGGTTTGGTTCGTATCTTAAGGGAAAAAAGGTGTTTTGAGAGAGTGCTAAGATTAAATGAGAGCAGTAAATGTTTTCCCAGGATAAATGCACTTTTCATCTGCCTATCATTGAAACAGGAAAAAACCTGTTTATAAGACTGGTAGATTCTCGCAGTTCCATTTTAATTTATTTCAAAATACAGTGAGCCTAATGAGTGAAGAGGGAGATTATTCATTACCTCCTGTTATACAGTAAATGCAAATGCACCTTTGCCTCAGGGATCCAGGTGAATAGTGAATTTGGGAAGATGTCTCCTGCCAAAATGTCCTTTTCAGTACAGGATGAACCAGAAGTAATGCTGGAATTATTTAGCCCATTGAACACACAGTCCTGGAGCTATCCTCTAGCTAAAAGCACAGGATTGCATTTTCTGCTGATGGAAATGAGAACTGCTCCACTGGCACTTGGAGCCACATCACCACGTTCTGTGAAGTACTTGGTCTGGTTTTCTCTACTGTTTTCTCAACTCCTGAGTTGTAAAGGTCCCACTCAGGCTGTTTGTCACACAGAACCACTGGTGACGTGGCTGTAAGGAAAGGCACTGTACCAGTCATTAATGCTGCTTTGCATCAGCTGCCTTACAGAAGAGAACTGGTCCCTAAATCAATCACCAAGAGCCTTTTAAAACGAAGGGAAAATAGTCAATTTTGAGTTTGCTTTTTTGCAGCAAAATTGAAATTTCAATTCTCCTACAATCTTAGGCCAGGCCAGGCTTTTGTGAGGATAATGGGACATAAGTACCTTTTGTCTTCTGTTAGGGAGGGTAAATTGTATAGCTGTCAAGTTGCAGCATATCTGTAAGTGCTGAGTGAAACCTTTGCTGGGAGGAATAAAATGAGTGTGTCAAAGGAGAGGGAAGGATGCACATCCATCAAGGAAACCTGTTAGAATCCAGAAGCAGGTTTAAATCAGTACAGATGCCTTGACCATCTGCTGAGGATATGTGTGGACCTAATTGCACAGAACAACTGTCATTTCATTTTTTATAAACACCTTAGTTTGCAGGATGTTTGCAGCTGAAGTGAGCAGCTTCTCACTCCCAAAGGAGCAGCTTCTCCTCCCAAAGCCCATGTTCTTGAAAAAGCTCTCTGTTCTTTTTTAATGCTCAGATTCTAACAATATGGTTTATTTGAGGTTCTCCTATTGTGTATGTCGTGGTTTGACACATAAATGAATTTTCTCAGGGGTTCAAACCGATCAGTGTCAGGTTTGGATGGCTGGACACCCCTCTGAGAAGACAGGGGTTAAAAGCCAGAACTCCCAGCAGAACTGTCTCTCTTTGGTTCTTTGGAGGGTGCAGACTCTGCCCTGCCCAGCCATGGGCTGGCTGGGGAGGAGAAGCCATGGGCCTGGGGAGGTGGGCCAGGGGTGAAGGGGGAAGGGACAGAGAGCCTGAAGGCACCTGGAAATTTGCCAGCAGAGGAGAAGGAGAAGGGTGGGAAGGTGCCCAGTGTGGGAGATGGAGTCTGGGCTGAGATTTCAGCTGTCCAGGGAGTCCGGGACTTTTAACCCTTTCCTGGGGAATGAGAGCTTTGTGAAATATTACTCCTCCTCAGTTTGAAAGAGAAGAGAGACACTCTGAGACCTGAGATTTAGGACAAGAATCCTAGGTGGGGGATGATGATGGAGTGGCTTTTGGCTGGACTTTTCTTGTTAGCCACAGACTGAACCAATTTCTCCTGCAACAAAGACTGCATTTTAGGGGGATGCTGGTGAGCCAAGAGACCTGCTCCAGTGACTGCCAGCACAGGAATGGAGTGAACAGAGAAGAGTTGAGGAGGGTGTGGTGGTGCCCTGTGTCTTCAGGAAGAAGATCTCTGTTGCACCCTCAGCCCCAGGGGAGGAAGAAAATGGGGGGGACTGTGGTCCCAAAATGAGAAACTGAACTGTTGTCCTTTTGGTCCTTGGCAAAGCATCCTTAAAGGAGCCCTGTGAGCAGTCTGGGTCCATACACAGTGGTGAGAGCACTGTGACATGGAGAGGAGAGGGTCACACTGGCAGATTCTCTCTGGGCAGTGCCATGTGTGACATGGAAACACAAGAGGTGGCAGGTGTGTTTCCTGGGGGTCTGTGGTGCAAGAGAGACTCCCCTCTCCCCTGATGGACTCAGTATTGATTATCTGAAGGGTGGTGACTTGATTGAGGGTCCAAGTTGTGTCTCACTGTGGCTTGTTGGAGTTTAGATGGGGGGAGGAGGAATGTTTTGGAAGGCTTTCATTCTGAATTTAGCATGTGCTTTTTTCAAAGTCGTAGCTTAATACAGTTCTTTCTCCTTTATTTCTAAGCTTGGGCCTGCTCTGCTCTGTTCTGATCACATCTCACAGCACTGATTTGGGGAAGGTGCATTTTTGTGGGGGCACTGGCATCGCACCAGGGTCAAACCCTGACAGTGTATAAGGAGTTCCATCCAGCCTGTCCTGCAGAGGAAGCTGGAACCCCTTGCAATTTACCATTCCTGACGTACCTCAGAGTTTGTCACACAAGTACCAAGGTACTCTGAGCTGTGAAGATGTTCCCAGAGCTTTGTTCTTGTGGTTTGCATCACTGGAAGCTACAGGAGGAGAATATCTGCATTTTTTGTCTGCCTGTCCATTATTTTTATTACAGAGAAAGGGAGTGTTGCTGCCCCTTCTAGTGCATGTTAGGGCTGCAGAAGATAGAGATGCATGTGCAAATAGATAAGATTTAATAGAACCTAATGAAGGACATTTTTGTGTGCTCAAATATACCTTAGTGGACGATTTTAAGTATTTAAATTCACAACTGGCAGCAGTAAATTTCATTCATCATTTTAAAGCAGGGATCTTTTCACTCCAGCTTCATAAGCACAGAGTTTTAGGTAGAAGCTCAGTTTCATCTGGTAGGAATAAAAGTAAATGTCCTGTGCCTGGTCTCTGTCAAATGATTGACTGTTCCTGAGCATGGAGTATTTGGAAATTGTTCCCAGTTGCTGGTTTTGTCACAGTGTCTTTGCTTGTTTGTGACTTGTATGAGAAGACAAACTAGAGACATGAGGGTAAACAAGTGAAAGAGTATTGTTTATCTTACACACATTTACATGTACATTTCACATTTCCATTACTTGGGTGACGAGCCTTAGTCTCCGCTTTTCTTTCTTTTGAAGTAGAATATGTATTTTTAGAGGCTGAGGTTTTTCAAAAGCAGATCCATTGTAATCACAGGAAATCTATAAAAAAATCTTTTGGAAAATTAAGGTTTTGGTTGGGGAAATTTTTTGGGTTCCTTTTGGGTTAATTTTTATGGGTTTTTTTTTTTTCTTTTTTAGCAGATTTTACTAGTGTTACTTTAAGCCATATGATTATATCAATTTAGCTTGCTAAAATTGTAATAATATGTATAGATAGATGCATAAATTCTAAACTCATGAAACCATTTTCTCTCAAGATTCAAAAGTGAGTCAGAAGGCAATGACCTAAGATTCCCTTTTTTTCGATAGGTTTCCTTTTGTTTTCCTGGCATTTTTGTTTGAGATTTCACTAGAAGCAGTTCTCCCAGTTCTTGAAAACTGCAAATACCACATTTGTACTTCACAACATACCTGGGTTATAGGGAAATGTGTTTCATGCTTGACATAGTCTTTGTCACCACCTGCAGAGTCCCTGTCAGAATGGGAAAATACGTCCCCACATCTGGATCCTCTGCTGTGAGCACAAGCTGTGATGATGGGAAGGAGAGGGTGGAAAGTTTGCCTGGAACTCCCTTTGGTAAGACCCTGCCTGATTGCATTGCTCAGTCATGGCCAGCTTGGAGACACATTTATGACTTCCAGGCTGCATCTTGGTTTTTTTAAATACTCAGGCAGTTCATATTTTACAGCTTTTATTTTTCATTGGATATCTTTCTGGAAACCCTTCCAGGTGTAAAAACGAACCAAATTCTGATTCCAGTCCTATTTTTTAGATTCCCAGGATACCAGCTTTATTAAAATCCAGGAAATACACTCTGGAAAGGTTTTCCCTGATTCTTAGGGGCAAAGTTCTCTTATGCAGGCTGATTATCAACTGCTTTGTAAGGATCTCTTTCTTCTACCACCTCCAGAATATTATTTGCTGTTTGCCCTTGGAGATGCTGCACCACTTGACTGTAATTCAAGTGTTATACACAGACTGGGTTTTCCTTCCAAGACACACCTGCTAATTGTTCTATTATTGGTATAGAAACAGGGAGGAAGCTTTTTAGTCTGACCCAACCTGATCTAAATGTAAAAATAAAAGTATTTCACTAGTCACTGTCTAGAATTATTTCAGTTTTCTTTGCCCTGCTGCTGGTGACCGAAATCTTTGACTTTCTTTGCCTTTCTTTTCCATTCTGATTAAAGCTGTATTTAAGAACCATGTTTAATACACCAGCATGTTCTGTATTTGTAGCTATTAACTGTGGCATCTTTCCAAGTTCTATTTTAAGACAACTTTTGTTTAGTGTTTGTGTGATGCTCCAATTTCCATATCCTCCCAGTGCAATGGAGGCTTCTGTTCCTCTGCTATATTGCAAGTTTCATTTCAAGCTCCTTGTTAAAGCTCAGCAGTTGTATATTTATCATCTGGGTAATTATCTGACATTGTCAAATAATTGCATCTTTTAATGTTTAGAAGCTAAAGCTGCTTATCAGGCTTTTTGGTATTACCCTCCCTCTTGTTGCTCCTTTAAGAAATAATGCCTTGCTTCTCTAATTTTTCCTAATATTTTGGTATTTGGGTTCTTTTATTTTTCATCTCAGGTTTCCCAGGAGATAAAGATGACATATTTTTGTCTAAAATATATTCCAGAAACTTGCTGATGAGGTCGTGGTATGTATGTTTGTTCACACAGGGACTATTTTTGAGCTAGAGGTTTCCAGATCAGCTTTCAGAATAGACTCCAGATGGTCTGGAATCCTTCTTTAGTGATCTATAGCTAATCAAATATTCAGCACAAACCATTCTGTTTTTAAAGCTGAGCACAGTCTTTCAGAAAAACAGCATATTGATCTCTTACTTTACTTTTCATAATTTCTTTTGTTTCATTATTTGGTGTTTTTCACTGCTGGTCCTCTCACTTATTTTGTTGTGTGGCTCAGGAGCTGTGGGGCGCCTTGTGTCTTACATTTCAATCAATAAAGGAAATTAATAAGGCCTTTGTGGGCTGTAGCTTTTTTTTTTTTTTTTTTATTTTTTTAAGGAATTTTAGTTCCATGTTAATGAATTAATTTTTTTTTAATTACTATGAAGGGAAGAAAATAAGGTTGTGCTGTGGTCTCTATTTGTAGCAAGCCCTACTTGCCAATTGATCTCATGGAACAAGGCAAAGGGAGGTGCAGTAGGTTGGGAGAACAGCTTTCTTTTGTTTTGGTGGGGCTGATTTCAGTAAAATATAAATGAATTGTGTGCTGGCGTGGACTCAGCAGTGTTATATTTGTGTCTGAGTGCAAACAGCCCAGCATGGTCAGTGCAGAGACTACTCCTGGCCACCTGTAGTCAGAGAGACACATCAAGGAACAAATCTCTAAGGAGAGCAGATTCTGCTTATTATTGAATAGGATCAAACTGGGACTCCCATGAGATTTTTCTGTCATGCATTCAAATCAGAATTAAGAATTATCCATTCTTTATTAAATGGTGGGAATTATTAAATGCTGAGAATTATTCATTCCATTCTGGAAACATTGTTATAGGAATGCTTCCTTACTGTTCTAGAGCTGAGGGGCCACTGAATATTTCTACAGAGCAAAAATATTTTTACAGAGAATATTTTTTCAGGTAACAAAAACTTTTTCTGCTTCTTATATGCACAAAGATTATTATTGTAAATCCTTGAATAAAGTTTGGCTCAGATTAACTCTAGATTTGATTCATTAAAACACCTTCAGGCTTATTGGACAAAGTTAGGACCATGCTTATTAAATATTTTGTTGATTAAAAGCCAGCATATTTTATTGTTACATGTATATTTACTCAGTATTCAATGAGATATAAATTTGATTTAAAAAAATACATACAAATTATCTTTAAAGGGCCTTAATATATGAAAAAATATATTCCTTATGAATGTGAAAATTAAATTGTGGGGAGTTTTATGTTTGTTTAATAAAACTTGGGTTCTAGAGGCTTATGGGCCACTCTAGTGACAAATGAAGTTATTTATCAACACAGGCTCTTTCAGGATCTGATGCAAAAAGTATTAAAGGCAGTGGGAGGTCTCTGGCCCTGGGAGTTCAGGGGCTACATGCTGTTCTGGGACTTCTCTCAGGTTTGAATGTGAGAGTAAATTTACTTAACTGGAAGAAAAGAGAAGTCTGAGAGTAACTGGAGGCAAATTCAGACATATATAGAAATATGTAGTGCTCTGTTTTTAGTATAAAAATAGCATATATATATATATATATATATATATATATATAATGTTTTTAGTGTAAGTGTATGCAAGCTGGACTTTGTAAGGTTTCTGGACTTTTCAAGTTATGACATTGCAGTTGAGTTACTTTTCAATTAAAAATTTAATGTACTTAACATCTTAAAACTCATTGAATGAGATCTGAAAATTTATGACCTTAGCCTACAGCATATTTTAGTCACTAATCTCCGGAACAAATTCTGCTGTAAATAAAATATTTCAGTGATATATTATGAAGGCAGAAAAACATTTTGCTGTGGCACTGCACTACTGAAACTTAAATAATCTTTTTTTTTTTTTTTTTTTAACTGAAATGGGTTTTCTGTCTACTCAGGAAATGTGTGAAAAACTTCCTATTGGATTACAGAGTAAAGTCAGTGAAGGATTCTCTGGGGTAGCAAGTGCTGGAAAAACATTGTGTACAGACAAGCAAGGAAGACTTCTCAGTTAACCTCTGTGGGTGTCAGGAACCAGTGCTCAGGATTTGCTGCATCAAATACGGGGTAAACACAGAGGAACAGCAACACAATGTATTGGCCCAGGTGTAGCTGTCCAGTTGTTTTGCATTTAGGAACCAGAAATGGGATTTGAGGGCAGGCAGAAAGATTACAAATGAGAAATGTCTCCTATCTTCTTTCCATCATGTCCACACATGCCAAGAAAAACACATTCTTTTGTGGGACAAAAAAAAAAAAAAAAAAAAAAAAAATCCCAGCAATTGTAGCATGTCTCTGTCGCCAGGTCCCAGAAAGACCAGAGATGAAGCTAGGAGGGCTAGAAGAGCATTTTTAAAATTAAATGGGGACAGATAAAGTTCTCAAAGTGCTTCAGAGAAGTCTGGTTCAATGTGCTGCATTGCATATCCAGTCCAGACCTAATTTATTGTTCCTATTGCTTGCAGAAATCAATCAGCATCCTGTATGTCTATGTGCAGGTAATAACTAATTCCTGAATGAAGGCTTGCTTTTTTGTGTATATCTGCAGGTACACAAATATACTTTGGATGTATGGTGAAAGCTGTTGTCTCAACTCGCAAATGGGATGCCTCCAGGGTTTATTTTTCACTTTTATGAGGAAAGGACAATTACAAGAGATGTGGATGTGTGAGTTAGGTAAATGCCTTCAAAAGGAAAGCAGCAAAAAAGCAAGTTCTTCCATTAGTGCCTAAATTAATTCTGCTTCCCAGAAGTCTGTAATTGCACTGGACTTTAGTATCAGATGGTCCACTTCTGCATCATGTTCATATTTCTATTCTACAATGTCTGTGTCCAAGGAAAAAGCCTTAGTATTAGATTTGCAATGTGTAATGCTGATGAGTCCTATGAGGAAAAATGTTATAAGTTTACATCATATTGGTTAACATGATAGTTCTTTGGAATTACTGGTGAAAATTGCAGACTGGGCTATTTGTTCCCTTCCTGTGGGTGCTGGACTTTTGGTGTATGGGCTGGGGTATTCCAGTAAATTTTAGTGAGCCTGAAAATTAGCAGCTGAGTGTGGTGTGTTGTGATTGCAATGAATCTTGTCCTCTGTAAATCCCAGGTCCCTCTCCCAAAGGTCACAACTGCCAGGACTTGCTGGTGCACCTGCTATTTCCCTTCATTATTTCCATTGGCAGTGAAAGAGGAGACAAATCATGAGGTGTTTCCAAAATTAGATGCAGTATTACAATCTCTCCCAGGTCCTTGAGTCTCTCCTATGAGTCCTTTCTTTAGTACAAATAGAGCCTGTGCTTGTATCCCCTTATAAATATGATATTTATAAACTGAATTAGGCACAAAAGGGTGTATTTTCAGT